GAGTCCTCATCCCTGGAGGTATTTAAAAGAAGGATGGATGAGGTGCTTAGGGACAGGGTTTAGTGGTGGGATGGCAAGGTTAGGTTAAAGGTTGGACTCGATGATCTCAAAGGTCTTTTCCAACCAAAGTGATTCTATGATTCTATGAATATCCCTCTGGCCAGCCGCCCTGGTTCAGTCCCTTCCCAACTTCTCACAACCCCCCAGCCTACTTGCTGGGAGGTCAGAGTGGGGGGGGTGGGGTGGGAAAAAGGCTTTGATGCTGTGCAAACACTGCTCAGCGGTAGCACAAACACATTGTTGTGTTACCAACACTGTCTCAGTCCCAAATCCACAATGTAGCACCAGACCAGGTGCTACGGTGCTCCATCCCTGCCAGACCCAGGATGGTCCGTCCTGAGCTGCATCAGCTCCCTGCGCCCGCCGCGTGGGGTTGCCGTATGGGGAGTGGTGCGTGCACAGTTGTGCAACGGGGGCGGAAGGGATCAGAGGTTGAGTGTGGAAGGGCAGGACTTGGTTTGTTTTTGGGACTGCCTTTAAGTTCGTGTCTGCTGAAGCACCAGCCACGGTTTCTGCACTTACTACATAGCGTTATGTAGCAGTGAATCAAAGGTGCGTGTGATGTCATGTCTGGATCCGTGAAATCAGGCGTGGCTCATCTTTCCTCTCCATATAGTTTTACACTGCTGACGTGTGTCCTGGTGTTAGGGCTTCACAAACTGTAACTATGCTGATGTTACACATTCTCTTGCTTTTAAAAATTGAAATCATTTTCCTTTTAAAAAGCAGTTAAGTATTTAAAAATACCATTAGAACTAATAAAGTAGATGCATTTGTGACTAGGGAGGCAACATTTAAAAGTATTTCTACTAAAGAATTATGATAATCGGGTGTTAGATATAATAAAAGCACGTGAATACCTAAATACCTCCCCAGTTAACTTGCGGTGCTTCGTAGATAATAGAGAAGTGGAATCTGAGAAGGTTATTGAGTATATAAGAGACAAAACGTAACAATGTTTTAGAAAATTTTCCTTCATTGCAGGTTCACAGTTGTGGTTAAAATAAATGATGTAGAATACGGTACGGGCACTGGTAAAAATAAGAAGGAAGCAAAAGCAGTAGCAGCAAAAAATTCCTGGGAAATGATTGAGAAACAGGTGAGTAAACTGTAGGATTTTATTTTTATTTCTTTTGCTAGTAAAGGTTGAAGATGAATCTCTAAAAGTAGCCAATAAAATATCATTTTCTTTAATTTGGAAGAATTTCTAATTATTTCTTTATCTTTGTTCTCTCTTATTCAGTGCTTTTTCTACTTTTTACCACTGAACTATTTTCCTTCTTGTTCTACAGCAGGGTTGGTATGTGATACTGGGAGTGTTTCCTCCTCTGGTGAGGAAGGAGGGTGAGGAAATGTGTTTGCCTTTGTTAAGCTGCCCTGGTGTATCCAGAGTGGGTGGTGTTCCTTTCTTCTCTTGACAACTGCTCCGTAATTCGATGGCTTCAACACGTTTGCAGGGTGCCCTTAGTGCCCGTCTTGCCGCTCTGCTCATAAAACTGCTTGGTTTCACTTGATCCGATTCACCTGTACATCCCAAAGTGGAGTTCAAAGGGAAGAAAGCTGTTTAAGTACTTTTTTTCATTATTTGGCTGTTTACTGTAAATTTTCAATGCTTCTTTTATTGTTGTTTTATAAGTTAAACGTGTAATCAATGGCCTATTATAGCTCTAGGACCCTTCCATAATATTCTCCTGTGCTGCATTTTCATCAAAGTCTGAAATGTACTGCTGCAAGCAGAGCCTCTGTAGCAATTATTCTCAGTTGAGGGTAGGTTGGGTTGGTTTGGTTTTAATTTTTATTAATCCCCAGCAGTGTCTGTGTAACAAATAAAATGTAACTAGCAAAAAGTAGTAAAGGCCCAGTACTCCTGAAATAAAAAAAAAAAGCGCTTTTGTTTATTGTGTTGAAACACAAACCCTTAAGTTTTTCTACTTTTTGTCTGGTTATGGTCTGGAACAATTTTAGGTATTGCTTTTAATGTTACGTGTATGCTTTTATGTCATGGGGTGGGGGAAGGGAGGAAAGAGGGGAAGAACCTCTACTAAGTATTTAGGATTAATTTTTTTTTAGTTGACCCCGATTTAGTAATCCAGATTTTGCAGGGTTTTCACGCTGAAGACATCGAGTATCTTTTTGTACAGATTCAGATTTTCAGTTCTGCTGACTACGTATACCAAAGCCTACGTAGATCTCGCTTTCCACACAGACAATTGCATATGCAATGAACATTTGCTTTTAATAACTGTTATTCTTATCCTGATTTGTAATAGCTCCCAGACTCTGCTTCTGTAAATGTGTCTGTGTAGTCTCAATAGGAGGGGGAAAACGCTCACTGGGACGGGGCCCCGTGTTTCATTCCTCTGGGTGGAAGTTAGGCAGATGCCTGCCTTCCGCAGGGCTTTGGGTGTTCGGTGCCGTTAAGGGCTTCCACTTAGGACCTTGTAATCTTCCCTCCCCTGCCCTTTGCACCAGGGATTTTTTTTTTTTTTTTTTTAATGTGATTTTGTTAACCATTCTTGGTTTTTCTCTTTTCAGATGGAAAGTGAAGAGTCTAAATTCAATTCTCCATCTAGCGAACATGGTAATTCCCCTCGAGTGCCAACTCCGTCTGACTCGGAGTAAGTTGGGTTCAGTGATAAGGTGATAAAATGTATTTACTAATCTTAGAGGGTCATGCGATCTAGTTCTAAATAAAATCTGTCATAGTTTCTTTACTGCACTATAAAGCCATTTGATTTGAGCTTATATTTGTTAGACTTTGGAGCGAAATTTGTTGTACTTGCACAATTTGAGTCCTTTTGGGTTAGCTTATAATAATCTCAGGGCTTTCTGATATATTTTGCCATGAGTAATTCTTTCAGAAGCATTTTTACTGTGATATAACGGAAAAACCTATCTCAGTCAGTAGCATTATTTCATGCCATGTTTAACACTCATTTTCCTATCGTGACACTCTTGTGAACTTGGGATAATTCAATTTTGGTACTTTCCTGTGCTCCACATTCTGCTTTCTTCTCTGTTTTTGGTGATTTTTTTTTTTTAAACTTTTTCTTTCTCCATAAATCTTCATTTCCACCAAAGGGAAAATTTGCTTAGTGAAAGAAAATGAACATGCAGGAAGTTTCAGTGTGATTTGGGGACCCTAGGTCAAGCCTTTTGTGCCCAGCAGTTAATTTGACTGTAGTGCCACTACTACTTTTTTAATGTTCTTTGTACATATCAGCTTGCTTTGTGATAGCGCAATGCTAGAGGTGACTGTACTGCCTTGAAATAACCAGTATTTAACCAGTTTAATTAAAGGCTAGAGTAGAATAGATATCCTGGAGATACCTAGACATCATGAGATCAGATCATAGAAATAGAGGAGTACATTACAAAATGTTATTGTTTTATTGGCTTTCCAGCATGAAGTTTTGTAGTTTAAATCACTCATGATTGTTAATGCTTTTTAAAAACTGTGTTGGCTTTTTATGCTGCTTTTTTTCTTGTGGCAATAGTTTTATTTAGGATTGTGTTACCGTCACCTAAAATTAGCCTATAATTTTTCAATAACAGCAGTAGTTGCTGTAGAGACTCGGCTGCAGAGTTGGTAGAAAAAATGAAAGACGTGGCAGTATGCGAAAAGCCTTCACCTTTTCAGGTACAGTATGAAAATGGTCTTCCTCATAATTACCTTTTAGACCCTTAATAGAGCAAGCTTCTTGTCAGAGTGTAGCATCAGTTTGTTCCTTTACCCACTAATCACTAGAAAACACGTGCATTTTTCCGAAGAACAGTCAGTGCTTTCTTACCATTAACCATTAGGCATTGTCTTCTGTACTGGGGACCTGATTTATGTACTGTTCACCAAATGGGCAGTACGCCCAAGAAAGGGGATCAAACTAAGCTCCTTGTCTTCTGTGGGAAGCCTGTTGATGTCATATACAGCATATGTGAAAAATTTTGAGCTAAGATACGGCTTCATTCTTATTACATTGTTTATATAAGGTATGAACACATTTATAGGCAACTCCTCACTACTTTCTCAGATATCTTTTAAACCAAGTATAGTGAAAACATTCAGGATATCTCATTTAGGGTTTTTTCTTTTTTTTTTTTCTCTTTTTCACATAGGGAAACGCACCAAGATTAGCTCCGAAACATCAAAGGTATGTGTTTATTTCTAGGTGGCTATCTCCCATAAACAATATTGTAAACCACTTCAGTGTTTCTATATCTGGCAAAGAAATGCCACTATTGGGAGGTACATTTCACTGGTCACATATTAGAAAAGTGGCTCATAAGTTTTGCTTTTATCCTTGTTAAAGAAAAATGGCAGCTAACTTTGAAAATGCAAGAAACAAGGAAGAGAAAAGAAAGATGTCAGACTTGGATGAAAGTTTGCCAAGTTTGGACACAAATAGCAGTGAGGAGAATGGAAGTCCATACACAGTGAATAAAAGGTAAGAAGGATTTGGGTTTTTTTTAAGATGATCTGTATGGCAGTTACAGTATGTAACCTGCCAGGTCTATATTTGTTTATTTATAATAAAATGTGGGGAAAATACTGCTGTAAAAATAACTTTCAAAGAAAATTTGTGTTTGAGCTACTTTTTCTTTTTTCCTGGAAATTTCAAATACAGTGTAGCAGCTGACATGCAATGATACTTACTGCTTACAACCAAAAGTCATTTGTGTGAAGATGTGAGGGTATTTACCCTACATGCTTTCAAGGCTCAGTTTCCCTTGTTCTTTTAATCTTCAGGACTATGATTTAGACCTGTATAGGTGTTGAGTGATCCCTGCAGAATGGCATTTCAGCAGATGTATTAGATCTGTCAGGATCATTTCTACATCTTGTAAAATTAACGTTAAGTATACTGAAGTGTTACATCTTTTTCTTTTTTTAAAGATTTCTTGACAGTTTTAAGAACATAGAGCCTATTGGTGAAGGTGGCTTTGGGAATGTTTTCAAAGCAACAGCAAAGCTTGATGAGAGAACCTATGCGGTCAAACGGGTTGACTTCACAAAGTACGTACTATATATTTACCTCTGTATTTTATTTTAGGACAACCTTAATCAAGATTTTAGTACTTTGTTTTGTTTCTTTAATAATCCTAGGAGCACTTCAGTGATTTTCATTATTAATTGTCTATTCTTTCTGGTAAACTGTTTTCTTTATTTCTAAGTGACGCTGAAAACGGCATGCAACTTTGTTAATTTTTGCATGCACTGCAATAATTTCAGATGAAGCTGTAAAAGTAGATTTCCCTGAATACCCTAGTGTTAATTATAAATTAATTATCAATTAATTATGCTACCTATACTATATGTTATATATAGCAGTTAGTGAATAACTTTGGTTATTAATATTGAAAAATGTGTTTGAAGAAAACTTGCTAATTAATAACATCTTGAAAGCAGCAGTTACTGTTGAAAGTTTACGTGGAAAATTTACATATCAGTAATGCATAATGATTATAATTAGAAAAAATAGAGAAAAATGAAAGTAATACGTTTTGTGGTTTGTAATTGGAAAATGCTATATATGTGACCCATGTAGTCATTATTCTCACACTGTGTTACTTGTCCTTTATAAATCTCAACTGAGAATGATGATCTTAATTTTTTTTTTTTTTTTTTTTTTAAAAGTAATTTTTCTGTAACCAGTACCTAGTGGAGTATTTTACCAGCAGCTGAAAAACTTGAATTTCCTTTAGGTAATCTGCTAGAAAAATTTCAAGTGGTTGGAGATACTTGTCCCTTACATTGTGTAACTGCCCTTCCAATTCTTATGTTCTTTACAAATATATGTTATTTTCATTTGTATTGCAATCCTGAGAACTATACTGAAAAACATTCTACTGATTCTTCAGGTAAAGACTGCTGGTCTGCCAGTGGGTTTGAACTTCCTTCACTAGGCAATGTTACAAGTGCAAACCAAGTCTAGTAATAGTTCTTCCTGAGTATTTACACTGACTTCTCTATATGTAAGCAAACTGTGTAGAGGTGAAAAGAAAACATGGCTGTTTGCTACATTGTGTTTGGCCACCTAATGGAATTATACATTGCAACTATCTGCTTTTTCAGCTTTTTTGAGTGGGGCTTTCGTTTCTAATACGGTTAAAACATTTTTGCACTTTGAATAACTGAGCAGATGAAAGAAAACCCACAGAATTTGTAACAGCAATTTTGAACTTGTATGAAGGAGAATATTATGTTCTTCTCCTAAAGGAATGTAAAACTATTTGTACATTGCTGCTTGGTACCATGTCTTACTTAACTTGGTATTAAATTTTTATAGGAAAATGTCTTTTTTTTTTTTTTTTTTTTTTTTTTTTTTTTCCCCTCCAAATAGCAACGTAAGGCGTGAAGTAAAAGGACTTGCAAGACTTGACCACGAAAACATAGTGCGGTATTACTGTAGCTGGGAAGGCTACGACTGTGTAAAACATTCAGACTCAAGGTAACTACAAGATAGTACTTTACACTCACAAACTCGTTTGCCATAGTGAATCTTGTGTTGTAAAAAGAAAGGCTGATGACTGGTTATAAATCATTATATGCACACTTAAATACTTAGTGTTAGGAGAAAAAGGCATGGTACTTTTCAGCAGCAGGTTGTATATAATTAAGTATTATATCTTCTTTTCATTGATTAATAAGATAAGTTATGTAAGTTTATCTTTCTCCTCTCTCTTAATATACAGAACTTGCTGAATCTAAGAATGCAGAACTCAAAATTTGGGGCTAGAATTAACAACAGAACCTAAAAAATTGTCTTGCAGTTGGCTGCCAAATTCCTCATTGGAAGTCTCCTTATTTTAATACAGACTGGTCAGCCAGTGGCTCTCACAGATTTCATTATTTCTCTAAGTTAGCATTTTAACCATGATGCCTGAAACAGTTTTGGTTGTTGAGAACAGAAATACAAAATGAAACGCTGTTTCATTTAGAGGTAGTCTTTCAACACTAAGACTTCTGGGAAGACAGTGGTGGGAGTTTTACTTGTAAGTTAGGTTCTTAACTTCTCAAAGCTTCTGTGGTAAGCTCTTTTCGCTAGCTGTAAATTCATACCCTTCAGATAGGTTGCCTCGCTTACCTAGAGCCATAAAGTATTAATGGATTAAAAATTATGGTTGGTGTGGTATCTCTCCAGCGCGCTCAGTAAATGAGGAGTAAAATGGGGGAAGAAAAGTGGTAGAATCATTACTCTCATGTCAAAACTCAACCATTAATATGTTGGAGTCTCAATATCACTTACGCATTTTATATTGTGCGGAAGACTGGACTCCTGACGCCAACCAATATGATCTCCAGAAGCTGTTTATTACACCTTTGCATACAGCTTTTATATTCTTCCAAGCCCCGTACACATGGTCATGTAGACTTTTCTAATTCGTACATACTACTGTCTATCCAACAAGCATATAAGCCTCTAACTCACTCATTGGTTATTTCATTGTCATCATCTTATCCTCCTTGTGGTTACTGCTTCTCTACTCTAGCAACTAAGTTCCGTATACTAGCTAAGCATTTCCCCTTTAATAGCGTCCCGTCCACTGGCTAAGCATTTCCCCTTTAATAGCATTCCAGCCCTATCAGAACCTGATGTCCTTGTTCTGCTAGGGATGTATCCACAATATTGAACAATTACTGGGTAAAAGACAAAATAATTTCTCAGAGCTGAGGTCCCAGCCTGGAATTCCACTTAGTGCCCTGAGGCTACAGAGGCTACAGAGAGTCCCGAGCCACTTAATGCTTATTCTTTCAGTGCCTCAGGCGGCTTTATTCCAGGGCACTCAGATCACACAGTCCAAGTAGGAAAAAGTGGTGCTGCTGCTTCTCCATATTGTCCTTCCCCTCACCACCTCCAGCCTCAGCCTATCCTGTGGGCTGATGGTGAGGGAACTCTTCTGGAAAATGTGAGGCTGTAGGGTGGGTGAATAGATTTCCTCTAGATTTCCAGCTCTTGGAAGCGTTTCTCTAACTTGCAGGCTGTTGTCAAAGATGGTGACCGCACTACCTTCTTGAAGGGACAGAGATGGAAAGAATGCGATGGTTCTGGGTAGGAGAGGAAGGCTAACGCTGTCTTTGGGCAGAGTGGAGAACACCTGCCAGGGACTTGCATCAGTTCCTAGAGGGCAAGATGGGAGTCAAGGACAGTGCTCATGTCTTCCTGCCTAGGACATGCCTCTAGATATGAGGGGAGCAGAATTTGAGCACTCAGAAAACATTCAGTGTGAACAAGGAAGTGGAACATTACGAATATTCCATGGATATGTAGCAACTGAGCCGGGATTCTTTGGTTTGGAGTTCTGTGTATTTGTATCTAGTACAAACAGGTCTAGGATCTTTTTTAAAATCAAGAGATTTGGAGACTTTGTTTTGGGGAACTCCAGGAATAATAATAATTAACAAAAAGGTTTTATAAAGAAGAGGAACCTGAGAATCATTGATGGGTTGGGAGGAATTCTATCTTGCCAATTTCAATATGGTATATCATTTTCTTTTGCAGGCAGAAGTCGGCTGAAAACATTCGCTGTGTTTTCATCCAAATGGAGTTCTGTGAACAAGGGTCATTGGAAAACTGGATTGAAAAGAATAGAAAAGAACGAAAGTATCATGACATGGCAGAAAACAAATTTTTACAAATCCTGAAAGGAGTGGAATATATTCATTCTGAAGGGTTAATTCATCGAGACCTCAAAGTAAGTAGGATAAGTAATTAAAAAAAAAAAAGTACTTACTGGAATTTCAAAAAGTGTTAAATTGTTCTAGTCTTTGTTTAGTCTATTATGTACCCTAGTAGTGTGCCTTTTCTGATGCTGCTAGTGATAATTTTTTTTCAGCAACTGGCTGGACTTTATCCTGAAATTGGAAGGTAAGCTGGAGGATCTCAGAATGCACTAGTTCAAAATAATCAGTAGTCATCAGTTATCAGGTATTTTCAGTATATTGTGTGTTACTAGGCCACAGGACTGCCTATTGGATAAAGAAATACTGACTTGACTTTATAAAATAATTGAAAGAAAGTAAGTGGAAAATTGAGCATAGGAAGTTCTCTCTTGCCATATTGTAAAGGGATAGTTTCTCTCTCCTAATGCATACTGTGTTTGAGAACGTACTCTAGTTGCTCTTGTATCACATATGCGTACAAGTAATTGAATGCTACTTTTTTGGATAGAATTTCAGTCTTTACAAGATCACAGCTTGCGGCCTAAGGCTTGTTACTTATGCTTTGTGTTGGATTCTGTTTGAGCTAGGAAGTGACTTCTACAGCAGAAGTTCAGTGGAAACTTTAGAAGTGATACTGAGATGCCTGTAGTAAGCCCCAAGTCTGCCATTGACTTAGTACAGATAATCCTGCCGTGCCTAGGAGAAACGGTGATTTGAGTGGAATTCCATGTGAGCATAAATGCTTTGCCCAAGTGTATCAAATCGCAGGGCTAGGACTGAAGACTAAAAAGCACTTCAGGGTATGAAATGGTATATGCACAATGTATTTGAAGAACATTTAAGCATGATACAGGTGTGACTGAGCTAGTGGAAAAAAATAGTTGCAGTTACTGTGGCATGTACTACTTGAAATTTAGTTTGTGTTTTTAAAAATTAATTGAACTTTTTTTCTGTTTCCCACCCCATCAGTTTCATAATGCTAATTTCTGTGAACAGTTATCAAATTTTACGGGGAGCACTTCTGTGGCCAATTATGTTTGATGATAAGCCTTAGTCATATAGTGATTAGCTTTTTTTTTTTTCCTCAATATATACAGCCTCAGAATATATTCATATCACATGAAGATAAAATAAAAATAGGCGACTTCGGTCTTGTGACTTCTGCGGTGTGTGGGACTCTGACTGAGAACACAGGAACATCATCGTATATGGCACCAGAACAGGTAATTATCCTGCTATATTAGTGTCTCTCTAACTAGAGCTGCATTATAAACTCAGCATTGAATATTCCCAATCCTAACTGCAGTACTAAACCAAGTCGCCTAAAGTTCCCTGGTGTGACTGTACAGGAAGATAACTGTGTTCTGGAGAAAGCTGTCTGCAAGTGTGGTGACTTCATTCCGCTGTGCTGACCTACAGGGTCTGACGCTGCGTGCTGTAAGGAGCGCTCTTGCAAAAGCAGACTATGTATTTCAATTTGAGTTTAGGACCTCTGAGACCTGTGGCATTTGAGTGGTCCTATTTGTTTCATTGTGAGAAGAGAGATTGGCATGCCATATCTGTATAGATCTCTAGAAGTCTTAGTTTCAATGTGTTTAATGGGACATAATAGACACTGCTTAACAGGTCTGTAGCAGAAAGGGTTAATGACTAGTAAGAGGACCAAGTAGGGCCAGTCCTCTAGCACTGGGGTAGAAATTTCTACTGACTTTAAATTTTGCTTAAAGAAGTGCTGTCCAGTTGGATTTGATGCCTATGTTGTTCTTGTTCTAATCCTTGTAGTTCGGGGACAGATATGGAAAGGAAGTAGATATTTATGCGCTGGGATTAATTTGGTTTGAAATTCTTTCGGCGTTCAGTTGTTGTCATGAGAAAAGTAAGGTATGTAATCTTTAAATGTAAAAAAAGAAGTCTTGCTGTCATTGTTTTGCCTTGCTGCTGGTATCACGTGCTAATTGCACGCTATAAGGAAATCTGTGTCTCTAGAGTACTGTCCCTATTTACATCTTCCCCTTGATTCATTTGGGTAAGGCCTGTAAGTCCTCACACCTCAGCTGAAATGTAATGACCAAAGTGAAGAGATATTTGTGGTTTTATTTCACTTATGTCTCACTGACTGTCGTGGTTTAACCCGGCTGGCAACTCAGCACCACGCAGCTGCTCGCTCACTTCCCCCTCCCTCAGTGGGATGGGGGAGAGAGTCGGGAAGAAAATAAAAGGTTAGAGCCGTGGGCTGAGATAGAGACAGATCAATAAGAGAAAATAATAATAATAGTAATAATGAGAATGGTAACAGAATATACAGAATATACAAAACGAATGATGCACAATGCAATTGCTCACCACTCGCCGACCGATGCCCAGCCCGTCCCGAGCCGCGATCACTCCCCGAGCCACGATCAGTCCCCCAGCCGCGAGCAGTCTCCCCGCGACCAACTGATCGACTAACTAACCCCCCCCGAGCATGACGTTCTATGGTATGGAATAGCTCTTTGGTCAGTTTGGGTTGGCTGTCCTAGCTGTGCTGTACTCCCAGCTTGTTATGCACCTGGCCGAGCAGGAGAAGCTCAAAAAGTCCTTGAGTAGTCTGAGCACTACTTGGCAACAACTGGAAACATCAGTGTGTTACCAACATTCTTCTGGTACTAAATCCAAAACACAGCACTATGCTAGCTACTATGAAGAAAATTAACTCTATCCCAGCCGCAACCAGGACACTGACATACACACTAAAGCCTGAGCATGCTAAAGAATAACATCAAGCAAAAAAGACTTAAAGTTTCTGATAAATCTTTTTGTTGGAAGGGAATATTTTTCTAATTTTAGAAAATTCAAATTATGAACGGGAGAGCTTTGCATCTGCCACGCTCTCATCTTCACTGCACAGTGGAGCAAGAACAAAGTTTCTATAAAGCCAAAATACTTGCAGTTTTCCAAAATGAAAACAAGTGATTTGGAATACGTAGCTTTGAGAAAGGTATTGCTTCAAAAAGAAAACCAGTGTTACTTAAGCTTTTTTTTGAAGAGGTATCTTATATTTGTCTTTTGCTTTTTCTTGGTACTTTGCACATTTTAAGTGTAATGGCTTATATGTGCAAACCTATAAATTTGTAGGACAGCGATGTAGCTGCTGAGTATCTTGTCTCAAGTAACTGTAAGATACATGTACATGGTGGGACCCAGAAGCACCTGAACATGGTTAGCTTAGTCCTTTTGCCAATATGAGGAAAACCATACCAATGCGTCTGCTCAACTTGCAGGTTCAACTTGGCTCTGTTGAGCTACCTTGTAGTATTTTCCAAGACCTCTTGTTCCTGCTCAGAGCTGACTGCAGATGTGTCTGCAGTCCCACAGTGTTTACAGTCAAAAGGGCAAGACTGATTATTTGCTCGTTTCCTTAAAGCATAAAAATCTTGTGTCTGTAGGTAAGTGGGGAAGTCACGTGGATGGGAAGTCCTAGGATGGTCTTCAGCTGCTCCATCACCTTAAAAAATAATTTCACTTAATGGAGCATGACAAACTCTGTTGTATGGTGCCGGCAAGCCCTGCTGAAAGGACATCATGGAAAAGCTAAGTTAATGACTATGTGCTGAATAACTGGTTCAGCTGATGGTCACCAGCAGGTAGGGTCACAGGCCAAAGCTACTGCTGAAGAGCAGGGAACAAGCTTGAGGCTCATGGGAGCTGTAGTTTTGCTGGATACTGGCTATAAGGGCTTGCTAAGCCAGCTGTAGCATCCATAAGACTTGCTAATGATTCAGGATGCATAGCTAAGTGCGCAAGAATGCAACTTGTCATCTTCAGGTGCACATTACGCTAGTTAACAGCAAAGTGAATGATGTGCACTGCTCTCTCTAACCAGAAAGCTACATCATGTGGGAAAAAACCCAGCTGTTACCCAGAAACACTGTCTGCAAGCATGTAACTAGAAATCCTCTAGATGTTAGTTGCTTTGAACTCCACGAAGCAGTTTCTGCAGCGATACAGAAGTAAGCGTGTGGTACTGAACAAGGTAAAAGGAAGGAAGCATGCCTGCTTGGCTTCCAAACAGTAGCATCCAAAATAGGAAATTTAGTCATCTTGCTTTTTTTTTTTTCCCCCCCTCCCTTATGGTAAGAGGCTACAAACCCACTACTTTTACATTAAGAAAAAAAGGATAATCGTGCTGAAACAAACACGTTGCAGAGTGTGAAGCTTTTAAGCTTACAAAGGGACAGAAGATGGTGAAAAGACCATAAAAGCAAAACAAAGTACAACTGAATGGAAAAAAACCCCTTCAAACTGTTTACAGTTACTTTCTTTTTGAAGCCTCACCTTTTTTGTAGATTCATGTTTTCCTAATTAACCCTTCAAACTGTTTACAGTTACTTTCTTTTTCATCACCTTTTTTGTAGATTCATGTTTTCCTAATTACTTCAGTAAAATATATGGGTCAAAGTGAGATAGATAGAAAATATAATCAAGGAAAACATAGTGAAACTGTTCTCATTCATGAATTTCAGGTATGGCGTGATGTTCGAGATGGTAAACTTCCAGAGAGCTTCTCCAACCAATTTGCAACGAAGGTATGTGATTTTAATGCTTTATTTCAGTTAGTTTGTTTACTCATAAAAAACCAATTTATCGACATTTAATTTCTTTTTGCAGGCACCCATAATCAAGAAGATGCTTTCAAGAGACTCTTCAGGAAGATACTCTGCATCTGAAATACTTGAGTTTTCAAAGTCTGTTGATAAAGTCAACTTTCTTAAAACTCATACTCGGTAAATGCCCTTCTAAATGGCTTTCAGACTGCGTTTAAATCCAGAGTTCGATGTCTGCTGAAACTGATGAGCTAACAGTAAATGTCAGAAGCAACAGCAAGACTTAGGATGTGTCTTTTCCATGGTGTTTTGCCTTCCTGCCATTGAAGAGCTCGTCAGCCAAAAGGGTCACATCACCATTCACACCCATCGGCTGCAGACCAGGACACCACACTTCTGCAAGCAATCACTTGCGGTTTTTACCTGGAAACACAGGTTGTGGATGAGCTGAGCTATATTGTACAATAAGTACAAGAAGCTAATCCTTGTCTGCTAGACTGTTAAATTGATGTGGTGCTAACTGGCCTGTGGCAAATCCCTGTATGCACGCTCTTAACATGTGTTCCTCCATTATCAGTTGAGGTTCTCTGTTGCTTTCCATGGAAGAAGTGCTGTCTTGGGGGATGTGACTTGAACCTTTCTGATTTGTTCAGTGACATTTTTAATAATTACTAGAATACTCCCATTTTCTACCAAAATTAGTCTTGGTTTTAAGAATAGGTGTGGGTGACTCTTCATTGAGTTTCAGTTCTTTAAGGTGAACTTTCTTACCTCTGAACACCTAACACCTTCAGTGGTCTAGAATTAAAAAATACATACAAGCATTCCTTGAATTTATATGGTAAGCATTCAGCTTCTAGGAAATCTAGTTTAGGTTTGTTCTAAACTTTTGAAAACCTTAGGCTTTACATTTTTTTTTTTTCCTGAAAGGAGCACTTAAGGTGCTCTTAATACAGCAAAATTCTCCAGAGTTTCTCAGTAGTAACCATTCAAAATCCTGTGCTGAGAGAGCACCTTAAACATTCTCTCCCATACTGCTAGGTTTTAATCTCTTATTGTAATACTGAGTGTACTGAATACCTTTGGTGGCATAAATGTCAGCTCGAAAAAAGGTAACAGCAGTTTGCCTGTTACTCTTCAGTTCCATCCTTCAAAGAGTTTGGATATGCTTGGACTGGAAGGAGTGTGTGTGTGTGTGTGTGTGTGTGGTGGGGGGGAGCAGGGAGAAAAGGCAGGCACATTAGTCCTTCAGATGATTGTCTTTTTGCTGCATCTTGCCAAACTACTCATTGCTGCTGAGTCTGCGTAACTTGATAAAGGCAAATGAGCAGAGATTTCTAAGCAGAAAAATAGGTACTGTATGCTTTTTCTGAAATGTTAAATGGGTTAGAAGTGGGTGCTTGGTTAAAAGGAAAAATATAAGTGAAAGCACAGTAATTTTTATATTCTTATGGTAATTACTGCTGATCTACTACAAGTATTTGTTGCTAAATAAGAATCTGATTTTACATCCTTTTGTAAGGTCTGAAGTTTTTTTCTCCTTATCGTGAATCACAAATACATAGTGTTTCACTATGCTGGACTAATTAATATTTTTTTTGCATTGGTCAAGATCTGCAAGAAATGATATCCTGACACAGACAAAATACCCCTAGTTCCACTTCCTCTTGTCTTTCACCCATAAAACTACTCTTATAATAACAAAATTGGCATGTGGCAAACTTTGGCTGAATATCCCTTACAGTGCTTGGACGGAGCACCCTTAAGACCATTACCTTCTTACTGTTACTTAACATTGAGCTTGCCCCAGTAGTTTTTGATACAAATACTACAGAAAAAGTATGCTTCAGCAGTACCTTTCCGTTAGTGATTGTTTAAAGTAGCAACTGCTGTTCCCTAAAAATAAAAGGTCTATTAAAATCTATTTTTTTATATAAAACCACAAACCCAACACTATGATCTGGTACTATTTAGTTATGCAAAATGCACACCTTTACATACAGAGTATTAGTTCAAATAACATCACTGTAATGTTGAACAAGCACTTTTTTTTTCCCCACCAGGTCTAAGACAGTAAGGAAGAGAGTGATGTTTAGTCATCTCTGTAAGATGAAAAAACCTGTTTTAACACATTATACAAGTGTAACTAGCCAATATTTATTCCCAAACTTGAATTTTATTATGAGCCGATCTTGTTCAGTTGGGCAGGGCATAACCAAAGACTGTGGAAGGCATAACCTGCCTCTACTTCTGGTAGTTCAATTTTAAATGCAAAGTTTTAATTCCTATTAAATTGTGCATCAAGCAAAAAATCTGTAAGGTGCTTCAGAAACGTGAGTTCAACCCGTCAAGTTATTCTTCTGTATACTTTGGTGTCAATTCTTCAGTATGGCACAGCTCCAAACTTTCTAAAATATATTATGCACTATATACGTACTTATCTAGGACTCCTTCCTTTAGAAAGGCTTTAGTCGTGATCTGCAGCACTGTCCCCAGGGCAGTTTGAAGATAAATCTTCAGAGTCTACAGGATAAGTGGGGGGAAAAAAAAAAGTGAGTAATTCCCCAGAGGGGAGAAAAATATGCTAGAATTATTTGAAGAATCCATGTAAAGCAGATTAAATAGAATCCCAAGAAGGTTTGTGAGTTATTAATTCCAAACGTTTGTTTTAAAACAGTGAACACAAAATTGACCCTTTTTGGTGTAGTGAAACTGGATAGTGTTTTGTTCCAGAAACACCTGCAAGCTTTCACAGCTTTTTGTGGTATTGGTTTTAATGTCTGAATTTTGTTTTCTCAAAACAAAATTAATAGGAATACCAACTCAAATAAATGTCAGCACGGCTGCTTGTTTGTTTGTGGGGGTTTTTTTGTGCATATAAACACCTAAAAATTGTCTTATAATCAAAATGTACAAAGCTTTGTGCAAAAACCAGCAGCCTGGAAGGCAAATTTGCTGTGTAGACTTAAAAGACTGCAGTAAGAGAAACATAAAGGATATGTTGTATTATTTGAGTCTAGCCGCATAAGCAAAGTAAAACACAAGACGGGTTTATTCCTCACCTTCATAGGTTGTTCCACACCAAATGCAATAAAAGTGTTCTCCTCTCAAATAGGCAGTCAGGATGTGTAGCTTTTCTGATACCTAGAGATAGGTACAGGTATGCAATGATTTGGGGTCATGTACCATACAACAGTTTGAGCTACTAGATTTGCTAAAAGATACTGTTTAACATTTTGCTATGGAGCAGCTTCACGGTGCTGTAGCTCAGTAAAGCCTGAAGCTTCCCAGATTTGTAGCACACGGTACAGGAATTCATGATCTCTGGAAAGTTAATGGCTGTTGCTTGCTCATCCTTCTTTCCAGCTAAGAAACCTGCACTGAAGGGAGATAAAAATACTACCCAGCTACCTTATTTCAAGTATGTGGTATTTTTGGTGGGATTTGTCACACCTGATCTCTGCAAATCAAACACACAAGGCTAACAACGGCTGTGTAATCTAGTTCTCAAAAAATCCGAATTTCCAGTGTCCATCTTGAGATAATCTGTGAAGCATTTTCAGAAATTACTTAGTGATTCTAAAACTCTGCCTAAGACATGACATGAGGCATCCAAAAGTAAAACTCAAAAGCAAGTAACTTTGATCAAGTAAGTGATCTTGCATATCTTTTCTAAGACACGAAAATGTTTATAATTTAATTCCTAGCCTACTTTTTCCAAAGATCAGCTGCAAAACAGGCAACCAATAAATCAGTGGTTTAATGTTTTCTGTTTTATTGTGTAACTGCTATAAACATCGCTGCTCTTAAGATTGTGAAGAGGCCATTCACTGCAGCTTGGAAAATGGCAGGTATACATATACCCTTTATACGTGTATGCATACATACATATGTACTTCCTAAAGGAATATTAAATTTAATTCTGAATGAAGCCATTAATTTAGTTGCAGAGCTTACACTTAAGTCTGAGCTTGTACATTCGTCTTCCTTGTCTTCCTCATCCTTTTTGTCCTCCTCTTCAGGTTCTAGCCAATACCAAGTCTCCTTGGGAACATCAATGTCCTTAAATAATGAAGGATTTAAATGAAAATTATTTGCCTTTGTAGGATTTATTTTTTTCTAAGATGCTGGATAAAAGACATTTCTAATAGGTGAGATGTTAGGTTTTAAAACTTTCCTGTCTAGTATAATCAAGAATTACTAAAGCTGTATTGGAACACTAACTACAGTGGTCCACAAAAAGGATTATTCACTTTTTTGAACAACCACCAACATGATCTCACACCAAGGCTGTGAACAGGTACCCTTTTTTATCAGCTGAAGACATGCTGCCTCAAGTTATTTTATCAAGAGATAACACAGTGCTTCCTAATTCAGCTCATGTGAAGTTAAAGGAAGAAGAGTCAAAAAAGATGATCCAAGCTAATTCAGCCGACTTCGTCTGAAGCACACTAAGGAGTATCAAACAATCTCAGCAGAACTTGTGTATTAACCTCTTACGGGTTAACAGAGAAAAGAAAAAGAGTTGAAGTTTTCAACTGGCAGAAGTTCATAGTAGTTCACTGCTATTGCACGTGGAAGGTAATTTGTTCTGGGTTTTTGTTTAAATGATGCTTTGGTGAATCTACTGATTCCCTCAGTGATGATCCTCATCCCTGGAGATACTCAAGAGCTGTCTGGACATGGTCCCAGACAACCTGCTTTAGGTGACCCTGCTTGAGCAGCAGGGTTGGACAAGAGTGGCTGGTCCAGAGTCCCTTCCAACATCAACCATTCTGTGATGACGTTGGTCACTCATGTGAGGCACACAGCACCATCACTTAGGACAGCCTGACTCTGGCTACTGAAAGATAGGCAAACAGCTCAGAAATAACCACAAGAATGCAGGAGCAAAACCAGGGGAGCTCTGACGATGCAAATTAACATGGATCTTCACATACGTTACCATGAGGTTGGTGTACACCTTCAAATACCTTAATGGTGTAAACATACACTTTGAAATATTTTAAGAGGACTGAAGCATTGCCACTTCAGGCTACTTCTGCCACAATTTTAGAGAACTTCCAGGAACTGAATCACTGCTTGCTTTGTAACCTGTATCTCTAACCTGTAAGGCTTCCTTCCAACTGCCCCAAAATACAGGACTCACTTTTTGCATATCTAATTGCTGGCAGGCCCTCTGGCTTTTTCGGAGGTCCCCTTCCATCTTACGTTCTTCTTGTTTGTTTTTGAATCTTACTCTGTTAAGAAAAAGTAGGTAGCTAAAATAAGCAGGTAGACAAAACAGCGAGATGCATTACAGTCAACAGGTTTTCTAAAAAAGCAAATCTAAGATTCTAGCCCTGTTCTTTCAGATCAGGACAATGCTGAAGTTCAAGTTTTTCTGACATTGTCTCTGTGGGAGCATGCATGTATTTCTTGGGAATTACACCTTCAGGACAGTCCTTTTCTGATCACACTACACCGAACAGTTTCTTCACCAGGATTTTGTAAGACATGAAAAAAGTGATTCACCAAACATATGCAAGACACAACCTTCCCTAGGCTTTCCTTCTCCACATATAACAAGCAAATCAGGAGGAAATAAAAACAATAAAACCTAAACAAAATTACCCTGATTTTTAACACCATTGTAGCAACATTGCTCAGGATTATCTGTGGATTTTAGATTAAAAAGATGACATGGGTCTCTGATTTTAAAAGTTGCAAATGACTCAAGAGACCTTAGTATGTATATTGTTTGCATTATTAACATTTACAAAAATAAACGATGCAGCACACACATTGAGCATTACAGCGTTCATTTGCTTTTGCTTTAGAACTGAGAAACAATTACAGTGTATTTCAACTCCTACCTCTCATTCAAAACATTCAAAAATAGTAACACCTTTAGAAGAATAACCAAACTTAAAGCATAAAAAGAATCGTTGTTTAGATGCTGCTTGGAATATCAGTTACATCATTTTACCTGAACTGATCTGCAGCTTGTTCATTTGCTTGTTTCTTCATGTGGAGTTTTTGTCTATAGTTTTCCAGTTTTTCTTCAGCTTTTCGCTTTTTTAATTCCTCGTGACCAAGCCCGCTTCTGCCTAGGTAAGTTCAAAAGATGAATGTAAGCAGTTGCGAAGCTCTCGTACCCAACTAAGTAACTTAGGAAGTATCACAAACCTGTTTTTATGTTCAGAGGAATAGGTTCCACAATGCCTTCTCCTGTAAGGGAAAAAATAGGTCCATTTAAGAACTCAGGCCTTTCTCAAACTATGATTTGTGCAGTATATTCAAGCAGGCAAGGTGCTTTTGCCATTAAATATGGACATTTTCCTGGGATTTTGTTGCTTCGAAGTTGAAAAATTCCCAAATCAAAGCATATTTAGTGCATTACAAATAACCTAGCTGAACTGGAACTCCCTGTCCTCGTTTGGCTTGTCTGCTGGACTGCTATATGCTTTTCTCAGGACGCTACCCAGCTGAAGGAATATGTTGATAACTTCACAGGTAGAAACGTACTTGTGACAAAGACTGCTTTGTTACAGCCTTCTGTAGCACTTTTCATTCTAGAATCTCACAACTCTACAGAGATGAAGAATAAAAAGAACCTGCCTGGCCCAGTTCATTTACCGATTGTCTGCTAGAGACATGCTGAACTGGCACAGCAGTTATTGATGCTCTGGTTTACTGATTTTACTTCATCTGTTCAGGCTTCACAAGGGTGGGCCAGCGTGCACCATTTCTTCTTCAGAATCCAACCATAAATTCGAAGACAGGGGTTGACTTTTTCTGGAATATTATGAGCTTTGCAAGCCCACGGAAACCCTCTTAATGCAATTCCTGTAGGCATGCACGTATGGAAACGCATTTACTGAGCAGCAAGTACAGCTGCTTCCCTTGCATCTCTCGATAGTCTGTACCATTTTCATTTCAGTTTTTAGAGATCTGCTCTCATCTTTTGTTCGGCCACAACACACTCACAGTTCAGTAACGCCAGGGCTCTCAGAGAGGCGTTTATTCGCCCTGTCTGCAAATGGAGCGGCAGCTACGGTCTCTGAAATACAAAAGTACACCTGAGTATAGGCACACGCTTCCAGGCAGCGACAAGCTTACCGCTTTTGCCAAGGGCCTGGCCGCTCTTGTAGCCCATCTTCTGGAGCAAGGCAAAGCCTTTGTTCTCATTGCCCAATGCGCTTTTCAATACCAAGTCACGTCGCTCTTTTTCCTCTTCTTTTATACTCTTTTGTCTGTTCTTCTCATTGGCTTCTTTTTGCTTTTCTTCCTTCTGGATAGCTTCCTTCACCCGCCTCACCATGGGCAAGCCTGGCCTTACATCCTGCCTAAGAGTAAATCCAGCAAATATTAGCAGGTTGGTGGGTTTTGTGTTTTTTGTTTTTTTTTTTTTACATGTTTATCATCACTTAAGAGGGAAAAGAAGAGCCACTTACGTACTTAAGAAATAAATCAGACATGTAGTCTTCCTCTTCATCTTCCTCCATGGTTAGCGCGCGTGCCCTGTTCCGACCCCCCTCCTAGAACGCCGTCACCACGCTCTACCACGCAGGTCTCCGCAGGTCACCTGAAACGCAGAACCCGCGCGGAAATCTTGCCGGTACGCGGCGGCGGGCTGAGGGGGCACGGCGCCGATGGGCGAACACACGGGAACCCGGGGGACGCCGGGCCG